GGGAGGTACTCCCGACGTAAATAATATGACGCACCCGTTTTGATCTTCAAACAACCTACAAAGTATCGGGACGCTTAATCGGGCCCTTTGTATGTAGGGTTTCATTAATTTTACCAATTTAAAATTTTCCAACTAATGGTAATTAAGAAAAAAACGATGGTAATGATAACATGATTTGCAAGGATTTCAAAGAAGCATGAACATTTTTGTCCACAAATGATGTGTTCCTTTACCTTTTAGAGATTTTGGTGTATTTTTAATCTCCACACATAGTAGAAATAGCATGTGTAAACGAAGAAAATAGGAGATGATAATAATATGGTTGTGGAAGAAAATTGATGATGAACTTCTTAATTCCTTATCAACTATTTTGGTTTGATTGAATTTTTTTAAACAAGATCTTATTGTTGATTGTGTTTAATTAAGTGGCATTTGAATAGGGAATTACTATTCTCCGCCCCCTTAGACGTTTTTGTCCTTCAGTACTCTCTCTCTCTCTCTCTATTATTTTCCTCTCAACTTTCTACGACTCTTTTAACCGTTAAAAAAATTTCAAAAAAATGCCAAAAAAATATCATGACTTCGGCAAGACATTGAAGATTGACCACGTATTTTTTTTACTTTATAAATAATTTTTAATTTTAAATTTTTATTTTTATTTTTTTTGCGCGTCCGGTCAAACCGGTGGGACGCGTACGGTGCCGTCCAACCGGACGGGCCGGATGCAACCGATCGCGTCTAACCAGAAGGGCCGAACGCGCACGGTCGCGTCCAGTCGGAAAGGCCGGAGGCACATGGTCGCGTCCAACCGGCCTGGCCGGACGCAACCGTGTGCGTCCGGCCCATCTGGTTAGACGCGACCATGCGCGTCCCACCGGTTCGGCCAGACGCGCAAAAAGGAAAAAAAAATTTACAAAAATTATTTTAAAGTAAAAGAAATATAAAAATAATACATGGCCAATCTTCAATGTATGTCATGGTATTTTTTGGCATTTTTTTGAAAATTTTTTTTTACGGTCAAAAGAGCCGTAGAAAGTCGAGATGGAAAGAGTAGATAGAGAGAGTAGAGAGAGAGAGAGAGAGAGTGAAGGGAAAAAACATAATTGAAGGGGGGGGGGTGAGTAGTAAAAGGGGGCGGTAAATAAAAATTCACTTTTGATAAGAAGATATAGAAATAAAACTTAAAAAAATGTTGAGAAGTATGATTGACTAAGTGTGCCCCTGATATAGCTATTATAGCATGTGATTATTATTATTTTTTTTCAAACAAGATCTTATTTAATGATAATTTAATTACATATGGTATTATAAACTCTTTTTTCCCCATTTACAATTTTATTATTATTTATTCTACTATAACACGGGCACACTAGTCAATCATACTTCTCAACATTTTTTTTATACTTCACAAAAATATTATAAACCAATTTCACCCTATGTGTATATATAAATCAATCCCTCTTAGAAAGCAAAACACACCATAGTATATTCTTAGACCACCAAACCATTAATGGCTCACACATTGTTTTCCCTAAGAAACACACTTTATTTTCTATTTCTGTTTCTTGTTTTATTACAAGGAAAATGCAAAGCTATTGGCCGAGGCTTCTTCTCATCATCACAATGCAACGATAACTGTGGCTACGAACCTGCACCAAATTGCAAAAGATTCCAATGTGCTTCGTATGCAGTGGTTCATAGCCAAAAAGAATTCGAAATCCGAAAATACGACGAGGCTTTGTCGGTGTCGGCTCCGAGTGTCACCATGGATGACTACAAAAGTGCTGCAAGTAAAGGTTTCCTAACGTAATAATTGACTCCTTTTTCCTCTTCTTTTTTTAAGTTCTAAGTGTTGTTTCATTAGATTCTAGAACATTGGTTTGTGATATATATGTTGGTAGTTAGTATGTTATATGTGTTTCGATTGTCGGGATAATGTCGTTCTTTTTGTCGTGATCGTGTTTTCTTGGCTGTTGTTTGTGGATTTGGAAAGCTCGCCGTTGTTTCGATTGATTCTGTGAATCGGTAATGGGTGTTGGGTAGAGTTTGAACTGACGAAGGAGAAAATATGGATTTGGGTAACTAGAGGGATAAAAAAAAAATATTATGCAATATTATTTTATTTATTTATTTTCATCTTTTATGGTTTATAATAATTTAATATACATTATTTTAGGGTTTAGAAAATTTTACAATTACCCGTTGAAATATTTGATGAACTACCTCATGTTTTGACATTTAATTTTATTACATCAATTTAGTAAATTTAAACAATGGTGGGACACAAGCATATTAATTTATTCTTTGAATGTCATACACTTGATGCTAGAAATAATATATATTCTTCATTTATTAGTTTTGGTGAAAAAATCTCACTTCTTTTTTGACAAGTTCCTTTTTTTCTCCTTCCCTTTGGTTTTCTTGCAGCTTGTTTAGGTACTACAATGGCTACAACACAGAAAGAGTGAAAATCAACTTGACAATACCTGTCCTCATCAACGTCAAAAACACTTCGTACAACGTTTATTTTCGCGCGCCGAAAGAATACCAAAACACGACAAAACTTCTACCTAAGCCCACCGACAAGAACATACAACAAGTGACATTGCCTAAACACAAATTTGCTGCTGTTACAAGGTTTAGTGGCAACATTACGAACGAAATAATCCCTGTTGAAGTTGCCAAACTAAATACGACCCTCAAGGGTACACCTTTTGAGTTGGCAGCTTTGGCAGTTGATTCCAACGGATACACCATTGCTGCTTACAACTCTCCATTTGAA